CTTATTATATTACTTGTATATTTTTTAGGTTCATGACATAGATCGATGTATTAAGTGTCCATTAAAGCTGTTTCTAAAATCCTCGGTAAATTAGTTTGGCTCACATCATTTTTGGAGCAAACCCTATATTTTACCCTATAGCGAGGCCTTTCTTAGTTACTATGGCAACGACGAATGTAAAAGTTACTGATCTTGCGTCAGCTGAGGATATTCCATCATATTTGACTCAAATATGATGATAAAACCTTTAAATTGAAAAAAATGTTTTTGGGGTGGAAGACCCCCTTAAATAAAAGAAATTTCTCATTCAAGTTGAAATATTTAACCAAATAAATATAAAAGCTAGAAATACATGTCAAGAAGCTTACTAAGTGACGTTCAATCGAACTTGATCAAACGAATAGTGCAGCGACAACCGCGATGATACTTTGATAAATGCATGGATAATTAATGCTGGATAATTAATTCATTTTATTTCGGATATCGAAGTCCGATCCGATCCGACTACGAAACAACTTTATATCAATCCGATCCGAAATGAATATTTTGGTCCCGCAGTCCGAACGAATCCGATCGGATCGGTTTCGGATCGGATTTGCACACCTCTACAATAGACCTTTCCCTTTCTGAGTGAAATTCTGATTTAGACAAGTCTGGACAAAAATTTCATCACATGCAGCTTGAAAGAGTATCACAAAATTAGTAACAATCCGAAGTTTCGTTGCAAAATGTTGGAAAATGCGGATAATATAGCCCTGCGAAGTTTTCCGTTTTTCAGTCATTTTGCCTACAAACGTGAATTCTAAATCTGATTATCAATTTCCAGTTTGTAATGCAAACTAAATGACTGAGAAACGGTAAATTCGCAAGGCTATATTATCCGCAATTTACAACATTTCGCAACGAAACTTCGGAATGTTACTAATTTTGTGATACTCTTTCAAGCTGTGATGAAATTTTTCTCCAGGCTTGTCTAGATCAAAATTTTACTCATAAGGGGAAAGTTAATTTTAAGCGGCTGCATTATCCATGACAAACCGCAAAGAATCATATTACCCATACTCTTTCCTGCAATATGTAGTTAATTAAATACGCCTTCGCCCATTTAGTTCTACTAAATTGTAAGCAAATTGTAAATTTCGACATACTAAAACTCTATTAACAACTCGAACCGACTTGACATGCACGTAGCTCAGTTGGCAGAGCATTGAAATAGTGTCCCAAAGGTCGCGGGTTTGACTCCCACCGTGGCCAAGCAAACTTTTCAGCTTGCCCGCTGTGGATGCATACTCAGAGTAACATCACAAATATCATAC